TCACCGAGTGCATGTATCAATATTCTTGCTTTTGTTTCCTTGATTTATTATGACTCTCCATGTAACTTTTTCAGTTCAAAGAAGTTTTCTAATCTCTCTTTATAAGATTTTAATGTTTCCACTTTTTCATCGAAAGATTCAAAGGTTATTGAAGAATTTAAGATAGGTGTTGTGACTTTACTGTCTTCTCCATTGTTTTCTGGTCTAGGACTTGCAAGTTGTCTTACTAAATGGGCAAGAGCAGCAGTTTGGGCTTGTAATGTTTCCAATATTGCTTTGTTATGTTCAGTCACTTCTTGATTATCCATTTAGAATGTCCTGTTTTCTTCAAGCTTGTAAGTAATGCCTAATCTTTTTTCACCTCTGAGTCGCCATTGTTACATACTTATTGAATTAAATAATTGTAACATATAATTATAATAACTAAAAATAAAGTCTTGTTTTTATTAATTTCTCAATCTTAGAATTGTAAATATTACATCAGCTGTAAATAGAAATAAAATTAATTAACAAGTCCAGACTAACAGATCTTACTAATATTATAAACTAGCAGAGTACCCGTCGGGATTGGCATATAAGTATAAAATGCTTAGTACAGTTATACTCAAGCTTAGCGTTTGCAATGAGGGAGGACAAAGTATGATAAAATTTGCTTCTTTAAATTTACGGTATACTATAGTATTACACATCTACTATAGCCATAATGATCTACCACTTCACCCAAACAATAGAAAAAATAAATTTAAAGATTCACAAAATATCACAAATTATTCGTGAAATTAAAAACATAAACATAACTGTAAACAGACAGTTCTCATTGCGTATCACAGTTTTTTGTTACTGCTTCGTTGAAATTAGCTGTTAAAATAATAGTGCTGCACCCTGTTGGTAAATCTTATAACTTTTTAATGCTTTTGCATATCATAGAACCAACTTTTTTAGTTGAAACAGCTGACTTAATTCCCTTTAACCCTCCAAGTGTCTCTAGTTTTGGTCTTAATGTTCGCCCATTTATTGCGCAATCGCAGGGTTTTATTAAAATGTATCTTAGAAACTTAAAAACAATGTAAAGTATACTGTTTTATATATAATTTTGTTTGGAAAATTATGGGCTTCAATGTAACATATAAAACATTACAAAAAATGTTCAACAATTTTTGTGAGGTTAATATTTCTCAAAAATTATAAAATAAATGAAAAAAATTTATGTTTGCGCTCAATAAATTGTTATAATTTATAGGTCTACAAATATTTTAAAATAGCCACTTCATTCAGAATTTTATGAGGATTCCAAATATATAATAATATAAGGAAGTAGATTTGCAAATAAATAAGTTATGGGCAAAAAACAGATTTCGGTACATAGCGTTTAGCTAAGAATGCATAGCCTAACCATAGCTAGGAATCTGGCTGATAATTTACATCAATATCACTACCTACTTCTTCAGGATCATCAACCAGCCCTTCAAAATCACTTAAATCTTCTTATAATGCACCACGTATATCACTACTTTTGATTTTTAACACTAAAACAATGATAAACGTAATAAAACACATCAGTCATCGGTGCGAGGTTAACCAAGCTGTTTACAAATACGCACGTCAGCTGTCTGCTACAATTATGATCGGCTTGAGAAAAAAAGCGCTTAGAGACAGACCTCGGGAGAAAGCTTAGACTCTGCCAAATAAAACGATACCTAACTCGATCCAGTTCAATCTGATTTTGTCAGTCATAGAGCCTTCGCCGTAAACAGTGTTTGTGAGTCGAAAAATCGACACAAAACACTACACAAAGTGTGTTATGTGTCGATTTTACGACACATAACACTCGGAGGGTTAAATATGAATACTCATAAGGTTAACATGGGAAACTCTAGAGCCACTGGGGCGGAGCCCGAAAGGATTTTTGAGATAAAAATATGCCTATATGTTAATCGGGAATGTGAGCTATCATCATGCCAAATTTGAGCCCAATCCATCCAGTAATTAATGTGTGATTGAACTTCAAACACACAAACACACAAACTTTCACATTTATAATATTAGTAAGATAAGATGTGAAAGTTTGTGTGTTTGTTTGTTTGTTTGTTTGTGTGTTTGAAGTTCAATCACGCATAAACCACTGGACGGATTGGGCTGAAATATGGCATGATGATAGCTTACATTCCCGATTAACATATAGGCATATTCTTATCTCAAAAATCCTTCCGGGCTCCGCCCCAGTGGCTCTGTAATTCCCCATGTTAACCTTATGAGTATTCATATTTAAAGGGAATTAAAGAATTTAGTCAGCTGTTTCAACCAAAAAAATTGGTTCTATGATATGGAAAAGCATTAAAAAGTTATAAGATTTACCAACAGGGTGCAGCATTATTTTTTTTGCATTTATGAAAACAGCTAATTTGAACTAAGCAGCAACAAAAAACTGTGATTCACAATGAAAACTGTCAAAGTAGGATTGTTTACAGTTATGTTTATGTTTTTCATTTCATGAATAATTTGTGATATTTTGCGAATTGTTGATAATTTATTTTTCTCTATTGTTTGGGTGAAGTGGTAGAACATTATGGCTATGGCAGATGTGTGGCCTAAAAACAAGTTTCATGCAGTTAGAACTGCCAACAAAAATCTAATTACGTAGAAAAACGAAACTGAAAGTCACATTTTTTTAACATTAGTCTTATGGGTTGCTAAGTAACCATGTTGGTTGAATTAAATAACAAGGAAAAGGTAAACAAAAGACTTGAAGTTGTAGCACGTGTTCATAATAAACCAACTACCCACAGTATACTAGCAAATTACAAATACAGTACAAAAGGAAAAACATCACTTGTAAATAATTGAGCAAAGATTATACCAAAGATTGATTATACTTAAGATTACTCGAGACATTGTAGTCAAGGGTAGCAGTGCGAAGTCTAGGATCTGTTTATGACGAATACATTAAGGTATCTGCAATCCTAAAATGCTATGGGAAGGGAAGGAAACAGGTCCGTGACGTAGGAAGTAGTGAAGGAAGTAGTAAAGGCAATCATAAAATGCTATGGGAATAGAGGGAAACAGGTCCGTGACGTAGGAAGTGATGAAGGAAGTAGTAAATGCGAGCAGTCCGGAGTGTGGGGACTGTTTATGACGATAAGATTAGGGTATCTGCAATCCTAAAATGCTATGGGAAGGGAGGGAAACAGGTCCGTGACGTAGGAAGTGGTGAAGGAAGTAGTCAAGGCGAGCTGTCCGGAGTGTGGGAACTGTTTATGACGATTAGATAAGGGTATGGGCTATCCTAAAATGCTATGGGAAGGGAGGGAAACAGGTCCGCGACGTAGGAAGTGGTGACGGAAGTAGTCAAGGCGAGTTGTCCGGAGTGTGGGAACTGTTTATGACAATTAGATTAAGGTATCTGCAATCTTTAAATGCAATGGGAAGGGAGGGAAACATGTTTGCGACATAGGAAGTGGTGAAGGAAGTAGTAAAGGTGATTAGTATGGAGTGTGGGAACTGTTTATGACGATTAGTTTAACGTATCTGCAATTCTGAAATGCTATGGGAAGGGAGAAAAACAGGTCCGCTACGTTGGAAGTGGTGAAGGAAGTAGTCAAGGCGAGCTGTCCGGAGTGTGGGAACTGTTAATAACAATTAGATTAAGGTATCTACAATCTTAAAGTGCTATGGGAATGGAGGGAAACAGGTCCATGACGTAGGAAATGGTGTAGGACGTTGTAAAGGCGAGCCGTGTGGAGTTTGGGAACAGATTTATGTATCTCCGATACTAAGACTGCTTTCAGAGTGAACTAATGATTTTCTCCGAGCAAAGCTCGGTCCCCAGGTACTACAATAGAATACTGTAAATTTAAAAAAGCAAATTTTATCAAACTGTGTCCTCCCTTATTGCAAATGCAAAGCTTGAGTATAACTGCAATAAGCATTTTATACTTATATTCCAACCCCGTACGAAGGACGGGTACTCTGCTAGTATAATCATACAGGGTGTTTTTTTAAAAACTTGCATCTTTATTTATGTAAAAACCGCAATAGATAGAAATATGCAGTTTGCAGAAATCTTCTATTGACGTAGGGGGACCAATTGTTTTGAATTCAACGTTACATTCACATTCCCCCCCTTTCCCCCCCTGCCCCCAACTTAATTTTTTTAAATAGCAAGGTACCCCTTGTGACATATCAAATTAAAGAGCATGAAAAAAGAAAATGTTTGATGAAAAAAAATTGAAAATCGGTTCATAAATTTGTGAGATATTCCCCCCCTTACCCCCCCGGAACTTAATTTTTTTTAATAGCAAAGTACCCCTTGTGACATATCAAATGAAAGAGCATAAAAAAAGAAAAATTTTGGTGAAATTTATTTTTCATTTGATATGTCACAAGGGCGGGTACCTTGCTATTAAAAAAACAAGTTATGGGTAGGGGAAAAGGGGGGTGATTATCTCATAAATTCATGAGCCGATTTTAATTTTTTTTTCACCAAAAATTTTCTTTTTTCATGCTCTTTCATTTGATATGTCACAAGGGGTACTTTGCTATTAAAAAAAAATAAGTTCCGGGGGGGTGAGGGGGGAATATCTCACAAATTTATGAACCGATTTTAAATTTTTTTTCATCAAACATTTTCTTTTTTTATGCTCTTTTATTTGATATGTCACAAGGGGTACCTTGCTATTTAAAAAAATAAGTTGGGGGCAGGGGGGGAAAGGGGGGGAATGTGAATGTAACATTGAATTCAAAACAATTGGTCCCCTTACGTCAATAGATGATTCCCGCAAACTGCATATTTCTATCTATTGCGGTTTTTACATAAATAAAGATGCAAGTTTTTAAAAAAACACCCTGTATATAACACTAGTGATTTCTTGTTGCATAGTTAAATCTAAAGCTTTACTTTGTCTTGATCTGATCAGTAGTCCTAACGTATGATTTTTGCTCAACAAAACTAATGTCTTGAATGACAAATTTGTACTATTCCATTTTTGTATTACAAATTGCAGGTAGTACAAGTGTAACAAGTTCATCAACTTCAGTAACCAGTACAGCTGCTAGTGCAACAACAGTATCCTCATCAATGCCTGCGTCTGCAGCCCCAGTCATGGGACCCATGATGGGTGGCCCACCACCATTAGGCGGACCAATGGGAATGGGCATGATGGGTATGGGAGGTAGGGATAAAGTTTTTATGCTCTTGATCATTTGATTAGGTACTCATATGTGTAACTTAATATATTTACAACGTTTTTAAAACAAAATTTAATTTAACAATGTGTTGTAAAATGTAATTTTTATTAGCTAACAGTAAAATATACCATAACTTTTTAAATATAGGAGGTAATGTTAAATTAATGAAAGAAAAAAATACCCCTGCCACAGAAAACCTGTTGATTTGGCAGATTTCCTTTTGCTTGATTGGATTCTTACAAGCGACGTGTCGATCCTCGATACCACAGATACTTGACCATTGGTATCAGTGTCGATTCTGATACCGATACCCTGTTATAAATAAGCATTTTTCACATAAAACTCAACTTTTGTTAATACAATACTTCACAATAGGGATGGCCGAGATTGAATTTTTGGTTCGGGACGAGACGGGAATTTTTTCTGTGCATTAAAAGAAATCGTGAGTATTGCAGTTCCCAAACAAGAAAAACAAAATCAATTTTTACCATTTGTGGTACTGATCTATAAAACTAAAAAGTGGGTAAAAATTAACACAGGTATAGAAACTTGTGACTCGCAGTCACGGTGTGATCATCTAAATGACTCAGCGGTCACGGCCTGATCGTCGAAATAACTCCGCTGTCACGGCGTGATCGTCGAAATAACTCCGCGGTCACGGCGTGATCGTCGAAATAACTCCGCGGTCACGGCGTGATCGTCGGTATGACTTGCAGTCATGACGGGATCGTTGGTATGCCTCTGCGGTCACAGCGCGATCGTCAGTATGACTCCGCGGTCACGGCATGATCGTCAGTATGGCTCACAGTCATGGCGTGATGGTCGGTATGACTCGGCGTGATCGTTGGTATGACTCTGTGGACACGACGCGATCGTCAGTCACGGTCACGGCATGATCGTCAGTATGACTTCGCGGACATGGCGCGAATGTCGTGACTCCGCGGTCACGACATGATCGTTGGTATGATTCGCGGTCTCAGCATGATTGTCGGTATGACTCCGCGGTCTTGGCGCAATATTCGAAAAGACTTTGCCTCCTGCGTTCGCGGAACTATCGTGAACATCTATTGCTATAGCGGCGTCATTGTCACTCGCTAAGTGGCAAAATCGCCATTGATCGGATCAAATCCCGTCCCAAAAAATTCCTGAATCAATTGTAATCCTGTCCCGATAATCGGGAATATTTTCCCCCCGAAAATTTCCTGAAATTTCATAACCAATCCATCCCTACTTCACACTTAAGAAACTCATACAACTAGGGGTCTCAATCCCGAGATCCCGGTCAGTTTTTGATACCTAGAAATCCCGGGATTGGCGTCTTTTGATCCCGGGATTAATGGGATTGCAAAACCTATGTTTATATTAATCTTTTTGTGGATTTGAAGATTTTTACTTACGAAAATAAATAAAAATACGTCCAATAGCACTTGAAACACATATACTATTTAGGCCTACTTAAATGACGATAAATTTATTTTTATGAAATATGGTATTAGCCTAAGTTGTGATCTATTTTGATTGGACAATTTAATTAACATTAAACTCAATAGGCGAACGTAGTGTAAAATATATTATGTTTTAAGTGTATTTGACATTGTTTGATTTATTTTATTTTCTGTAGATGTTATTACTTATTAGGCCTACATTAGTTAGAAATTAATTAAAGTACAAGTCATTTTGAGTTTTCCTTTTGACATTAAACGCAAACAACGCAATTGATGTGGCAAACATAACATGGCAATCAGTAATTGAAGTATTATTTTCCTAATAATATTGAAGGCCTACAAATTAACCTATAAACACACCATTATTATTTTATTATTAAGATTGATTAAATTTTTAGGGTGTATAAGTTTTTTTTCGTATTTGGTTTTTAGTGTGGTAATTAAAGTTCTTTATAATAATAAAATATGTTCTTCGTACACATGTTACAAGCAGATAGTTTGTTGTTTGTCCCTTAAATTGTTTTATTAGAGCCCTATTACACTTGGTCACCAGGCGACGTCACCGGTGACCTGACTGGTTGGTGGGCACTGGTTCTTACGGCGCCTATTACACTATGATCACCGGTTGCGTCACCAGCCTTTGGTGACTGACCGGTGATTCTGCCCCGTGACCAGACGAGTAACCACTGGTTACCAAGATTTTTCGCTGGGTATGAATTAAATGGCACATATTACACACAGCCACCACTGTATTTTTGTGTTCTGCAAGTTCAGATTGTTGAGTGAACGTAATGTCGGAAAAATATGAAGAAATGCTACTTCTTGCTCTTTTGTTGAGGAAAAGGAGGAGACGAGCAAGGAAAATGCACGTGAACCCCCAAGGGAAATGTAGTGGTATCTTTTTCACCACTACATTTTACACTAGACTGGCTTCCTTTCACTGAGTCGTCTTTCCTTTCCCTGCATCTTTTTCCCGTTTATTCACTAATGTTTGTTCACTGGACATTTTTTAAACTGAAGAGGTAAGACGCGGATAACAGAGCACTTTGTCCTTCAACAAGCGCTGAATGTATGTAGACACTGGATTTGAGGAACTTTGGGGGTAGGTCTCACTCCTGGTGACTTCTGGTGTTGAGACTGGCTGCCCGTACAGTAACCGGCGACGTCGTGTAATAGGGCCCTTACTGTCAGTCAACATAAAAATTTCACGCTGCAACTGGTGATTCTTCCCATATTATTTTTTATCTTTATATTTTGATTTATTTAGTATCCATCTATATAAATAAAATTAGAGTTTTGTCTGTACATTGCTTAGAATAATGAACTTTTTGGTTATTTTTACATTTCATAGGTCAGAGAAACCGAATCAAACCTTATCTCAATTTCTGTCTGTCTGTCTGTCTGTCTGTCTGTCTGTCTATCTGTCATTCTCTTGGTAACGCTAAAATACGCACTTTATTACAACTACTCCTCAATAACTATAGCACTGTCCCGCCTGAAACTTATTTTCCAAATACTATACATATATGAGATGGTTTTAGACGTATTTCATCGAATATGAGACAGTTAGATATTTAACAGTAAACCCTTGAAAATCAAGTTTTTGTCGATTTTTGACGTGGAATTTCTGGAAGCCCATGTTAACCTTATGAGAAATGAAATTATTGAATCTTAACAGCTGTTTCAATTAAACAAGTTGGTTCTGTTCTGTGATGTTCAATAGCATTAAAGTTACAAGGATTACCAACAGGGTGCAGCACTAGCACTATTATTTCTTTTACATTTATGACAACAGCTAATTTGCAACCTGGAGGCGAGTGAGCGTAGCGAACGAGCTAACCTGAAGGCAAGTGAGCGTAGCGAACGAGCTAACCTGAAGGAAAGTGAGCGCAGCGAACGAGCTCCAACATACAGGTGAGTGAGCGTAGCGAACGAACTTCAACCAGGACGTGATTGAGCCATGCAAACGAGATCAGATAGTAAAAATAAAAGTAAGCCTACCGTTATAGGATCGACCGGCAGACACAGAGGTAATTTAACCTTTTATTGATTGTCATACCGATCCGGAACAACAAAAAACAACATAAAATGAAGCTATGTATAATAGTTTGGCCAGCATATCTTAAAATATGCAAACCAACTGCTGTTCGTTATATAAGAAGGTTTCAACTGAATATTATAAGATCCCCGTGCGTAGAACGGGTACACAGCTAGTATTAGCATATTATTCTTAGTAGTCAAATTTCTAGCTGTGTATCTTGGCAAAGTGTTCAGTAAAGCAGCATGACGGAAGCAGGCTACGTCCGAGTACGGTTGCTTGTGTTTTTTATGTATTTATCAAATTCTAAAGTGACACATCAACATTTATACATTGTAAATAAGAAAGATAGGTGATGGAAGTTCCGTGTGGTAACATTACTTTACTTAGAAAACGACAAAATAACACTGGTAACACTGGTATAAAACTGGTAAGGTTAGTTTAAAACATTAGAGGACTCAACAAGGGGACTTCACGCTCATTGAAAATGGCTGAAAAGTTAAAATCATAAAATAATATAATCCCGGGATCAGATGAGACAAATCCAAAAATCCTGGGATTGGATTGAAGGCCCGGGATTGAGACCCCTACATACAACATAAACCATTTTTCATTAGTAAACTTACCAATAATAAATTGAGCTGTACCTTTCTTTGAATTAATTCAATAACAACAACGCCCGCACGTTCAAAAATTACCGCTATTGCCACAAACACCCAAGACGACGACGACAACTTTTCTGTCACTGCGGAAGACGATGATGACCTCTACGAGGCCGTGGGAATTATTAGTAGCCTACTATAAAATAAATAAATTTGCCAAGTTTGATCAACATATTTCCATAAACAAGCAAACTACAACATTTTACAATATTCTCCATAAGAATGAATGACATGGGAATTTTAAATTTGCAATTTTTTGAATTTTCTCCGTAACCAATAATTTGTACAAAAACACTTTGGAATACTAAATTGTTTGTTTTTTTAAGCTCTTTAAAATGGTCTAGATATAAATTGGAAAATGTTGTGTTTTGAGGGTCAAAAATGAGAAAAACAATTTTTTACCCCATAAAACCCCCCGTAAACCCCTGTTCCAATGATCTGATCATACTGGTTGAGGTTCGCAAACTCATTCAAGTTTATGTTGCCTTACACCTTCAAACCAAATTTCATCAAAATCGGAGAAAAATTACTCAAGTTATCGCGTTCATGGACGATATACATATATAAACATTTGAATGAATAGTGTTTTTGGCCTCTAGGGACATCAAATTAAAAAAGTATATCTGTCCCGGCTCCAGGTCTTACCGTGCCATCTATGGTAATACAGTAGAGTCCCGCAAACTCGGCACTCGATAACCTGGCAGTCTGGATAACTCGGCCATCAACTGGCTCAGAAAATTTGTGATTTTTTTAGTCTGAGTTAAACATGGACTCAAGTCAAATCATTTGCAGCTCGTACCAAGGATTTGTTGTACTATATCTGATAACTTAATACTAAC